ATTTTCCCTTATAGACCTGGGCAAGAAGCGACTGTGGTTCAAAGAGAACACGCCACCCAATTTTAGCAAGAAGGGCCTGGTTAAAATGTTCGAATTGGCGAAACCCCATCCCACCATCATGCTTATTCCTACACAAATCACGCCAGGACATCCACCGAATTTTGGAATTGACCTCGGTAGCACCCCACCAAAAGAATGTTTATCCAGGAGACGGCACAGAGATAGCGGTAGCTTAAAACAGGACATTACATGCAAAGGTAATGCCAAGGCTATAGACTTTATCAGCATTTCCCTCGCCGCCCAAGACAAAGTTCGTTGCTTCCAACCTTGGAGCCGTGCCAGCAACTTCTCCTCAAGATAACGGAATGTCTCCATTTTAGACCTAGCAATCGAAGAAGGCAAGCCCAAATACTTATCATGGACCCCAACCGCCCCCACTCCCAATACCGCCACTAGAAATTCTTGGTCCGGAGTCGTAATATTTTTGCTGAATCAAACCGCTGACTTTGCTAGATTCACCCGCTGACCACTCAACTCCTCATATTCATTCAAAACCTCAATCAAGTTTTCACACTCCTGGAGCGTGCCTCGCAGGAATAGATACGAATCATCGGCAAAAAACAAGTGTGAGATCCTAGGGGCGCGCGAAGCCACTTTAACTCCCGCCAACCTTTTTTCCGAAATAGCCTGACGCAGGAGGGCCGCAAAGCCCTCTGTGCATAGCACAAAAAAGAGAGGGGATAAGGGATCGCCTTGGCGCAGCCCCTGAAAGGACTAAAATACCCCGAAGGGTTACCGTTCATCAACACCGAAAAGGACGCGGATCACAGACATTCAAAAATCCATCCTTGCCACACTGAGTTAAAACCCATCTTGTCCAATACTGCAAGCAGAAAGGGCCATTCAACCCTATCATAGGCCTTTTCCATGTCAACCTTAAGAGCCATATACCCTTTCTGCCCATGTGTTTTGATTTTCAAGTAGTGCATTAACTCATGCCCAAGGAGGATGTTCTCAACAATTTGTCTGTCACGAATAAACGCATTTTGTCCCACCGAGACAATCTGTGGTAGGATGACCGATAGTCGTTCCGCCATTATTTTGGTTATAACTTTGTACACAAATTGGCATAGACTAATCGGTCGCAGCTGCCTTATTGTTTCCCCATTATCCACTTTAGGGATTAATGTGAGCCAGGTATGATTGAAGCTATGCAGCATCCGACCAGTTTCAAAGAAAGAAACGACTGCCTCAACCACCAAACTCCCCACAATCCCCCAGAATCCTTGAAAAATTTTCTCGTAAATCCATCAGACCCGGGAGCCTGTTTAGAACCCATAGCAAAAACAGTCTTACGCACCTCATCCGGATGCACAACAGCCGTTAAGACGGCATTCATATCCGGAGTGACACAATGGTCAATCGGTAAAGCCGCCATCCGGTCACACATGTTCTGAACCTGGTTCTCGAATGTGAACAGATGTTTATAAAACTCCCTCGCAACATCCGCCTTTCCTTTCTCCTCAGTGACCCATTCACCATTATCCTTTTTTAATCCAGCCACAAAATTCCGTTTACGGCGCGTCCTAGTCACAGTATGGAAATAGGATGTGTTTTTATCGCCCTTCCTTAACTAGTGAACTCTGGACTTTTGCTGCCAGTAAACTTCCTCCGCCTCCCATTGTCTATTTAACTCCACTTCAAGCTGTCGGATCTCATCCCAATCAATCGGGTGGACTTGCTTGATCCTCTCAATCTCAGTCTGTAGAGTCCTTATATTGCGTAAGGAATTGGTAGTCCCCGCTATACTCCAATCATATAATAAATGACGTAGCTTCTTGAGATGGTCCCATAAACGAAACGTGGGAGTCCCGTGAATCTCTTCCTGCCAAACATACTCCACCATAGCTCTAACTTCAGGGTTATCCGCCCATCGAGCATCAAACCGGAAAAGGGGCCTACTATTTCGGACATAATGCTTATAAGAGAGAATGAGGGCTCAATGATCCGACCCCTGATCAGTAAAATGCCTCACCAGTGTATCAGGGAAGCGGTCAAGCCAGGTCTGGGAACAAAGCGCCCCATCCAGTCTTTCCCTTATACAAGCCGCCCCATTCGTTTGTTCGGCCATGTAAATTGATCCCCTTGAAAGCCTGTGTCCAAGAGACCCAAATTGTGACAAAATTACGCAAGCTAAGAGAGTGCGCAGCGTTCCACTGGTTTCCTCATCCTTTTCACTCTCATTCAGAATCGTGTTAAAATCACCTATGACAACGTAGGGAACATGAATGCCCTCACAGAGCTCCTGGAGCTGACCCAGCTGGGTGGCTCTAATTGCGATATTGAAACTAATGTAAACATAGATCACCACATACGAAAAATCCATTTCATTAATTTGAACACAAATACAGAAATTGGAATGAAAAAACACCGAAGCATCAACTTTGGGGGACTAAGCCACAACTAAACCACCAGATGCGTCGACCGCATCAACAAAAAAACAAGAAGAAGAATCAAAACCGAATCCACGCATACGGCGGGAAACTACTCTCCGTCTCGAACGTGTTTCCGAAAAAAAACAAGATCCGGTTTATTGGAATGCACTAAACCGACAGCTGTTTGGAATGTGAGGGATGGTCCAATTCCTCTCACATTCCAGGCCAGAAGCCTCATTTATCTGGTTGGGGCCACTCAAGGCTGGCTACCTCCACCTTTTCATCATTCACCAATTCCTCCACAAACTGCCTTTTAGGTGACGGGGCGTCTCCTATTTCACCCGCCCTTATCTCCAAAGATCTCTTCCGGTTCCCAATCATAGGATCTAGAAGGTTCGACCCATACTCATTTACCGGAGTAGTAGTCAAGCCCTTCTCTTCTTGGATTCGGTCCATCACACTGCCCTTTTCGCCATCATCAATGACAAGCCCACTTTCAAAAGCAGCAACAACCTTATGGACATGGCCACGTGTAGCTTGCAGAGAGCTAGAGTCACGTTTCCTCACTTCAAACTGGCCGCCAATAGCATCATCGGAATTAGAGGTCGGGGACTGCTACCCCTCCACCCCCAAACCCACAGCATTTTCCTCGCCATGCTTCCCATTAGTTGGGATCTGACCCTCCTTGCCCCTTCCCTTTCGTCCCATCCAGGCCTTAGCTTCAGGTAATGGGGCCTCACTATCCCGGGCCTTGGCCCCTTTCTTCTTACGGGCCTTAATATCACCATTGGGCTTAGTTGCAATAGGCCCCTCACTAACCATATTAGGTTGGATCGGTGGGCGATCAACTTCCCTGTGGGCAATCACCGCTCCCTCTGTATCCACCGGTCCTCTAATTGCCCCCGATGGAATAGGACGAGTCGCAGGGATTTTACCCCAGTTTGGTACATGGCGGAGCTCTGTTCCCTCCCCTGGAATTCAAAATAATCATCGGAATCCTCCTCCAGAATTAGACACCAACGGCGAGTTTCAGTACGAGGGCCACTGATATCCGGCGAGGCCGCCTCCACCTCCGGTCCTGAGTGGATTTGCGGCGCAATATCATGGCGGGCCACATCAGTACGCAGCGCCACAGTGCTACCGCGAATCAGCCTCCGACGACCGCCACGGGGGGACTCCTCTACCGACTGCTGCCGACTATCCCTTCGCATTTTATTCCCCACGCGAAACCTTGGGGATTTGGCCACCTGAAACACCCTTGGACTCTTCTGGCGATAAATAGAAGTCGAGTGGCTCGGCCCCTGGCGCACTCGGTCCATTTCCTGAAGCTGGGGTTGCGGGATTGCCTGCTGCATTGGGTGAGTAGTTCTCCCCTCCACCTGCTCTTCTGTACGCACCTGCCCATAGCCATTTGTATCAGAGGACGAGTCATGCGCGCGAACAACTTTATTCACCAACACAGTATTGCGAGGTCCGTGAAAAGACTGGGAGTTGTCATCAACCTCAACGATTTTCTGGCCTAGCTTTTTTGTGATCATGTGCGGGCCAAAATTTTCCTTCCGGGTTGGGGGATCATACGCGCAGTCTCGTTGGACATGGCCCACATGTCCACAATGAAAGCATAAACTTGGCAAGAACTCATAACGGAGGTGTACCCAGAAACAGCCAATCTCCTCATTTGCCGCAAACAACTTAGATTGTAGCGGCATGGTGAAGTCCATAAGAGCTTTGACTTTCACAAAGTACTCCCTGGTCTCTTTACAAACAAAGACCTCCGATTCTAAGACTTGGCCAATCGTAGGGGCAATCTGTTTTTGCCCAAATTGTTTGGTACAAACATCTTCCCGGATCCCCCAGAGATGTACTCGAAACGGGGCAATTGCCAGAGCATTGAAAATCGCCTTCGTGATCGTCGGGGTTCAAGATCGCAGGCATACAATCCTGTCACGTAATACCCATGGACAACGCTTCAGGACCCAAGTTTTGGTCTCTTCATTCGGCAGCACAAACTCCACCAGGCCATGTTTAGCCACCAGGACACGGATCTGGCCTCTCCCTTGTCATTGGGAATTTGCTGCCTCACGCAGCTCCTCAAGTGGCACAGCACTAACAGAAAAGACACGTCCAAGCAGAGAGCGAGAGGTACGGAACTTCACTGACTGAACCTCCCCCAAGGTGAACTGCACAACTTGGTCATCAGTGACATGTGTCATCTTAAGCACCTGTAAACACACGGATAGAGGATGGGGACCATTATTTATATCACACGACAGCACAAAAATCTCAGACTGTCGCAGATCAGGATGTGAACAGTGATTCATTCAACCCAAGTTGCAAGAGTAACACCCCTCAGGGGATTCAAAACCAGGCGAACCATTACCTGGGAGCACAGGAACGTCAGTAAGCATCTGTGTGGGGGATGGGAGTGAAAGCGTCTCCAAAAGTCGATTTCTCCTTTGATAGGGGAGAGGAGCCGGCCTGGCCAAGCGTGCTTTATATAGGAAGCTAACCTCACCCCTTCCACAAGGAGACGTAGCCGACGTCTTCGTTCTAAGAAGAGTTCTATTAGGATTCGGCAATAGAATTTGAAAAGTGGTTAATAAAAGATTTGGATCGCATCCTATCTCCGGATATCCCGGAGAATCTCGCAAAGGGGGAGATCTTCTGATCCGCCCAGCTTTTCTGTTGCCAATGTTGCCCAAGTTTCGTCCCGGATTCACCACAGTCGGGAACAACTTTTTCCGATACCGGTTCACCCCTCGCCGGAAGAACAATATCCAGTCGAGTGAATCTACGTAAGTGATCATCGCGGTCCAGGGCCTTAGAAGGCTTCGCCTGTCGACCTCCATTTGGAATCAAAAAGACATTATGGGCGCTGCCAGAGTTTGCGGCAGTCGCAGATCTTGAAGGGGATTCTACCGACCCCATTTCCGCCTCCGATGACGACGGTAGGGTAAAATGCCATCCCACCTTTTGGGATAACTTAGGTTTTTTGAAAAGTGAATAAACCTCTGATTCACCATCAACGCATTTGTGCTTTCTCCTAGCAGAGGCGCAGGTACGCTTTACCACCCGAGGGACTCGCTTAACGCCACGGTCCACGATCGTGTGAATTTGAGGATGGGACCAGCTTGGTTCCGGGGCTATATCAGCTCTCCCAAACCAGCGAGTCCTAGCAGGGCGCTCTTCAATTCTTTGATTCGCCAAGCATTCATGAAAGACAGCCTCGATCAGTCCGATGATAAGGTTTCCAAGCAGTCCGACGAGCAAGCTCCCACATCCGACGCAAAACTTGAAGAGAGAGGACAGAGCATCCCTCATTTTTTTTTCAAATCCAACCCAAAATTTCCGAATCATTTTCAAAAATGTTATGTGTATAACTGAGATAGAAAACAATCATTTCATGTATTTCAAATCATCTATTATATCCATTATTATATACCATATTTCTCGACAAAATTCTTCCGGCCAACTGATTCAGCCCTGTGCTAGTATATATATAATGGAGATTCATGTCTAAGATTTGCTCCATTTTGAAAATCCTGACATGAGAGTAAGAGTGTTTCCAGGAAGGGCATTGATGACATTTCCCAGTTGCTTAATGATACTCTGCGTTTTGTTTCACTTAGCCAAAGCCTGGCCCCATAGCTGCGTGAGTGGGCCTTTTTTATCCTCCCATTTGGGCCTCCTTTGATACCCGTATTTATAAAGCCTTAAAGTTAAAGGTTACATCTTTGATTGGAACGCATCGTTTCGATCTTTCTGCATCCGCTCCAGTCAAACGTATCCCAATGTTTTATGTTTTAAGTTTTAACCGACCACAACATTTCACTTATTTTATTTCACTTCTTATTTTGTTTTTTTTTATTGCGGTTCATTTTGTGAAGCAAACCAACCCGTCAGATCTTCTTCATCCGGTGACATCATCCACTACTCTTTAATCTACCAACATTAGTTTTTACACTGGACCCAATTTTACTTTTTTCATTTGTTATATCCCTTTATAATAATGTTCTTATTAGGGAAATGAACCAAAACCAGTCTTTTAACTTAGGATTTTAAAAAATAATAGGCCGCTTGGGTTAAATAATATTACTATTAATCGGTGTAGGATATTAATTTCACTAATTTTCAAGGTAGGTCGAGAAAAGAGTTACAAGTTAATAGTCGAAAACATGATTAGCTATATTATTATAAACATTGTTGTCGGATATTACTTTCACTTAGTTTCAACGTTGCCAACTCGGTTTCAATCATTAGTCTGGTTGAGGAAATGAGTTAAGAGTTAATGGTTGAAAATTGATTTGACCTGAATATACGAAAAACTCATTATATTATGCACACATACATAGTGTTTTCTATTATATGTTGAGTACAATCAAAGGTATCATATACACTTGGTAAGAAAATGTTATATAGACTTTGAATTAACCAGATTTTGGGCATGATACTATATCCTAACCGTTGATGAGTAAAACCTAGGTCTTAACCATGTAAATCATAGGCCCTAAACACCAAGATAGTGCATAGAATTTGTTGGATGTATTTCAATGAAATATGACCGTCGATTATTGTTTATGATTAAATTGGTCTTAGTGTATGAGATTCATAGAATTAAGACATAGATTTTCATTTTTAAGGGTTAAGGTATAGTACCATGTCTCAAACTTCGGGCAATTCAAAGTCTATATATAAGTTTTCTTGCTCTATGTATGTCATACATTTAATTTTATTCCATGTACAATAGAACCATTGACTCGCTACGACACAACACCTAACAATGGCCAAGTGTAACCAATGAAAGGGACTGCAGTATAGTGGCACAAGTAATACATATCGAATCCACGGGTCTCTAGAGTTACTATTACTCAGCTTCAGTTCATTATCTAGCAAACTAGATTAAGGATTGATTTATAAACTACTCTACTGACTACTCTACTAATTACAAGTTGGGAACTCACTTAGTATGATTCCCCCTAGCCACTAGCCAGACTAACGATTGATGATTTCTAACTTGTTTCACTTTTATTCACAATGCGGAGAATCCTTGACTAGACCTTGAGTCTCGACTAAAGGAACAAGGCCCTCTTGAGTCGATTGCCTAGAGGGACGTGTCCTTCTCTAGAACAACTTATCAAGGCGTTCTGAACTAGATTCCCTCTATCGAAAGAGGTTCTCAATCGATACAAAGAAGTGAATCAACCCTCGACTAAAGCAATCGATCCACTACTATCAATCTATGGTGCTCTATTGACCTAATCAGGTATTCCCTCTCATAGGATTAAAGCAGAATCAATAATCTCGACTAAAGCAGAATTGAATCATGAAAACATGCATAGATTGAATATGAACTCAGATTATCAAGTCAGAGTACTCATACAATCATCCAATCAAACAAACATAGCTACGGTTCCTCAAAACCTAAGTGAAGGGAAGTTACTCCATAGAGAAGAGAGAGACTGCAGAAATCTGATCTTGATCTTCAATCTCCATCTCCAAGCTTGATTCCCGAGCTCCAATGGCGAAGAAATCCTCCAAAATAGCTCCAAGAATGTTCCCAAGTCACTCTCTCTCTCTAGGGTTCGTCCCTTGGGTGTTTGGGAACTAAAACTCAGCTCTCCTTTTCTTTGGCTCGAATCTGCCTCAAAAACCCGATTCTGGGCGAATTACGGGCTGAATTACGGTCGTAATTCTTCCATGCCCGTATTTTTCCCAAAACACGCGTTTTGGTTAAGTTTCAGCGCATCCAAATCTCCTCTCGGCAGTGAAAATACGGGCATGGGAAAGGAAATTACGGTCGTAATTCTCCTGCCCGTAATTCTTCCTCCGCCCCTGTTCAAAGCTTCGTTTCTCCCTCGCCCGGACTCCGAATCAGTCGCCGTTTGAACCCAGACGCTCGTAGTCTCGTCCTCTATCTTTTCATGATAAGATTCCATGATTATTTTTCCATAATATGAGGTGTAAATCCATTCTTCCTCAGGTCATGCTCGTGTTTCTTCTCCCGAATTGCCAAATGATCTCCGATTGATTTGAAACTTGCGCCTACGCTTCACTTTATGTGCTAGGACCTGAAATGTGACAAAGGAACACAAACTAGCGTAAAATAGGCCAAAGAAGCGATAATTAAAGCTCAAACAATCAAGAAACAAAGGGGAAAACATGTGCAAATATCGAGTCATCAACCATCCACATATATACACATGACTGGTGTACTCCTAGATTATACCATGCTCCAATTATATAATCGTTAGATGTACTTAAGAATCATTGGTATTTTTTATTAACTTGATCTTGGGGTTTGAGCCTAAAGAATCGAGACATTGGTTTATCTATCATAGATAAGGGTATAGTATCATACCTCAATCTTGGCCTGAACTTGAAGTACATGACAATTTTGGCCTGAACTTTCAAATAAGACAGTTTTGTCCAAATTTGGCCTGAAATTTGGGTTGACCATTTATATTAACGGTAAAACATTTATTTCGCCTATTACTCATCGTACAATGTTAAGGTGGTTGCGACGTGGCTACCACGTCTTAGGGATAATATCCTATTTTTGTGGTCTTATTTTAGTCTGAAAAAATGTTTCACAATTTTATTAAATAAATGATGTTGAAACCACGGCGCAACCTAAATCTCTTTGCGTACCCATCCTATCAATATTAAAGGTTATCTTAAATTTGGTCCAAATTTGTCAATTTCTTTCAAATTTGAACAAATCTGTATTCTTTGAAAGTTTAGGCCAAAATTATCTTTTACGTAAAGTTCATACTAAAATAGTGTATCAACCATATGATGTGAAAGTCGCATCGCAGCCACTTCATCATTGTATGTTGAATAATAAACAAAAGAAATGTTTGACTATTAAGATTAATGGTCAACATTAATTTCAGGTCCAATTTGTTCAATTCTTTCAAAACTCGAAAAAAATTGTCTTATTAGAAAGTTCAGACCAAAATAAGGTATTACACCTATTACTTATGGTTAAATTACCAATCAGTCAATGGAAGTGTCAGCAACACTGACGAAAACACACATAAAACTCAAAATTGGTTACACTCATCCTTAAGTTTGAATTTCTCTCGGGAATCCCGACTACTTTCTCGGCATCTTCAGGGATTAGCCAGCTTCCCAACGAGACGAGCCTTATTCTACTATCTACTAAGAAGGATGATTTTGGACTTACCTATTAGACATCAATTAGGGTTGCAAATGATCACATTAATTTTAAGTCGAGTCGAGTCATATCTACTATCTATTAAGAGGGATGATTTTGCGGTTTCCTATTAACATCAGTTAAGGTTGCAAATGATCACAGTACTTTTAAGGCAACATAAGAAAACAAATGACTTTGAGAGAGAAGGAAGAAATACTTCAATGCTTTTACCAACAGAAAAAAATACTTCAATGTCAAGAGCAACCCGGCCAACGTGCTGGGCCCTGTGCTAGTGGTGATTATTGATGTTCATGTGCATCGGGAGTGGGAAGACATACTCGAACAAAGGACATTAATTGTAAGCTAAGCCACAAGCTGGCTACTTATTGCAAATTCAGAAAACAATGGTTACGTGAGTCATTAATAAATGACAAGATTATAATCTATTTCTTTTTTGTATGGAATTATTAGAACTTTTGCATGATTATGTTGACAAGGAGATATACTTTCTTCAATGATTAGAATACAAGTTTGGATGCATGTTCAGGAGTAGAGTTATTTTGATTAAACAAATGCATACTCTGAAGTATATATAAGTTCATATGTTGTGTTAAATATGTTAGTAGAATAGATTGCATGTCCATAAATGTGATTTTAGAAGAGGTATTGTTTAATGTTACTAAGTGAACCACTTTTGTGACTCTGAAATCTATAACTTTCAAGAATCAGAGTCGTATCCCAACCAGATCCTCACCAATTTGAATGTTATCCTTTGTGGTAACTAATAGATCGCCAACCAATCCTATTAAGAATGATACTATACGTTTCTTTGTTACAATGGAGGAAAACTAGGTCATATGACATGAAAGTGTAGGAACAAATTTAACCTGGTTCTAGTGTTAGTTTAGTTAAAGAAGATGATGGGTCGTTGGGGTCACTAAGACAAGAGCAAAAGTTAACCTTGCTATAATCCTATCTCTTGAAAGTCGTCGTGCATGCTCCAGAAAATCATATTTTAGATATGATCTATTTTGATATGAGTAAATAGGATGGAAAGACAATAAATAATTTAAATTTTATAGAGTGCTTGGCAAGAAAAATGCTTTATCGCATTAATAATGATTGCACTGATTATTCGATATGTTGCATGCATGTAGTAGAGTTA